TAATAAGACGCCAATAAAATGTTAACGACCATTTTATTCAAGTATTTGGTTACCAATTAGTGATCATTCTGCTAATTTCCAATGCGCATCACCTTTGATTGAGTGGTGCGAGATTTTCGTTCCCTACACCATGGATGGTCTCCTACTCACATTTCCACATTTTGTGAAAAATCTAATCAACATCTGGATGGTTCAAGTATTTTTATCGCTAATCTAATTTTACAGCTTTCACGAAATAATATCACATTTCATTAACTTTCATTTCAGTTAACTTGATGAAATGTTTAGAAATAATGTTCTACATTTGCTTCTGGTTACTTTCTGAATTTTGTAATGTTGAGAGAATAAAAAATGTTAGTGTCGGCAAAATAATAAAAGATTCACAGTAGAACAACCAGTTTGAATTTAACGTCCAGAAATTGTTCCGAATACTTGAGATAGGTTGTAGAGTTAAATAACTTTTATGCACGTGAACATATGAAACAAGTTCCCCACTTTCCATTATACTTACAGCATCACCTTCTATACATACAACGGTTTCGAATTATTTAAAATACAAATAGAAATGTTTCGATCTTATCTAACAATATAATGTTCATTCCAATGATAAACTAACATTCACTTACAACAAAAAACAACGCAGCAAACAAATTTCAAACAAAAGCGAGCGCAATTAAGTGCTGCAAGCAATAATCAATGCCACGTGACAATCAGCTGATGCCAAATGTTTATTTAAATATCTCCATGCAAAAAACAAAGCTGAAATTCGATGGCTAATTGATATCAATTTGTATGCTTTGTGAGGCGGGAACTTTTGGTAGGCATGCGTTTTTGTATTTGTTTGTAAGAGCACGCGTTTGTTTGTTTGCATGAACATTTGTATAAAGTTTGTATGTATGTATGTTTGTTTGTATATACACAGCTTGTATGCATGTTTATGTTTTATTCGTAGTGAGAAGACAGGCAAGAAGATGCGTGCAAGTGCAAGTTGAAGGTGAAAGATTTGCGTGAAACTGAACTAAAACTATACTCAATGCGTACGTACCAAGTTTGAGTTAAACTTCCGATATTAATATCACGTGGAGTGCGTTGTTGAAATAAAAAAAGACGATTGTTTTGATGATTTTCAATGAAAGAACAAACTTGAAAGATTCAACATCAAACTAAAACGCCAGTTAAATTCAATAAAAGACTTTGAAGGATCATTGAACAGGGGAACATAGCAGGAGAGGAGGGTGGCAAGCCCTGAGAGCTAATTCAAAGGGGCTCATTTTCAAGTATTCCTTAACAAAAAATTACTTGGACGACCAAAAATTTGGTGAAATGTGAAGGAGTTCTTACTTTAATTCTCCCTGCCGTGCATGTAGTACATGTGCTGTATGTTGTCGAATGTACGTGTGTGTGTGTGTGTGTGTGTGTACGTACATGTTTGTGATGCTTGGGATAGGCTATGTGGCAAATTGTTTTTTCTTGCATATCACAACTAAACCTGCTAATGATGATGTATGTCTTAATGTATACATACATTCATACCTACATGCATTCATACCTACATACATACATGCATGCATACATACATACATACATACATACACACATACATACATACATACATACATACATACATACATACATACATACATACATACATACATACATACATACATACATACATACATACACATATACATACATACATACATTACATGCCAATCACATTTAAACAGCAGAGATAAACTTGCATGTTGAGACAAAAGCTACAACACACAAACACACACACACACATAAGCACAGATATACACGTTGGCTTCGATTGCTTCAAACAAATACATTCACATGCAGAGACAAATAGGCACACACGCGCATACAAAAACACACGCGCATACAAACACATACAAACATACTCACGGCATGTACAACAACTCTTGTAATGTATTAGGTATCATTATGTGTACAATATAATTGACATTATAATGACATATGGGTAATCAATAGGTAATAAATTGGCCAGTACAACAATCAATCAGGCACAATGGCTTGTTGTGCATTCTTCCACGCACCACCACTACTACTATCATCCTCATCATCATCAGCGTCATCATCCTCATCGTCATAATTCTCGTCATCGTCATTATCTATATTATTGTTTTAGCGTCGTCATCATCGTCATCATTATCACTATCATCATCATTATCACTGACATCATCATCATCATTATCATCAGTATCATCATTATCATCATCACTATCATCATCACCACCACCACCATCATCATCATCACTATCATCATCATCATCATCACCATCATCATCATCACGACTGTCGTCGTCGTCACATCATTATCATTATCGCGTGGATGTGATTAGGGTGATAATAATAAGAAGAAGGATGACAGAGACGATGGTGATAATAATGGAATGACGATGATGACATTAATGATCATTATATTGATGCTTAATATTTAGGCTTCAGGGTGATTAAAAGTTAATGATCGGTGTAATGACGATGAGGATGATGATGAATATGATGAATATGATGATGATGAATATGATGATGATGAATATGATGATGGTGATGAATATGATGATGATGAATATGATGATGATGAATATGATGATGGTGATGGATATGATGATGATGAATATGATGATGATGAATATGATGATGGTGATGAATATGATGATGATGAATATGATGATGATGAATATGATGATGATGATGAATATGATGATGATGAATATGATGATGATGAATATGATGATGGTGATGAATATGATGATGATGAATATGATGATGATGAATATGATGATGATGATGAATATGATGATGATGAATATGATGATGATGAATATGATGATGGTGATGAATATGATGATGATGAATATGATGATGAT